ATAAAAGGGATTGCACCTACCGGGTCGGGACCACTTGGTCAAGCTGTCTTACCTGACGGCTCGGTCAAGCTGGTCCGCATTGCAATGTGTATCTAAGTAAGTACCTTGTATGCTTTTGACTGAATTTTACTTGCTTGTTGAACTAACATTTAATAAAGCTTTTGGAACTTTGAAGTGACTTGTGTTATTGTGTGTCTGTCTCCCGTGTTTAACGTGAATTTTCCCTGACACTTTTTACTGTTACTGTTTTTTGTTTACTTGTTCTTATCTGTTTTTTCAATCCTCTGTAAGGGACCCAGAATTTCTGATGAATGGGTGGGCTTAAACTTTAATCAAATAAAAAAAAACTCAGGATGGAGCTGAGGGACACAAAGTGGGTGAGGAGAAATCAGATATATAGGTGGATCTGGATTTTTGGAAAGAATTGGATGGAATTCTTTGCTTATGGGCTGTGAAAGGCCTTTTTAAGGGTTTAAACTATTGTTTTCGCCTACCAGCTCAGTATGATAGAAAACTCTGTTGTTCTCTTATGTGAACATGGTCAGAAGGTAATAGAAAGATTAACTTTAATAGAAGATTAACTGCTTCTTCTCTCTGCTGGGGCTTCCTGTACAGGTAATGTACTAAAGCAAAGTTGTTTGATCAGATGAAGCCTCTGTGCCAAGAAAAGTGATGAACATGCCACCATCTTGCATATTTTTTAGTAGGGTATTTCCTACATGGCTGAAAAATTGGAGAATTTGGCTTGTGAAGACTAACACTAGAGGATTTCTTCTTGCCTTGAATTTCTTGAGGGAGAAATCATTAATCTACTCCCAGGAGATTGTCATGGGACATAAGTATTACAGTACTCATTAGGGGCTTAGCCTAAGCAGAGGGCAAAAACCTGGCTGGTAATACTTGTGCTAGGCTTGGAAGAGAGACCTCAATGGAATTCCAAGGCTGTAGGCCAGACTGAGAAGAAAAAAATGGAAAGACACTGGCTAACACTTTGGAATTTTGGGAATAAACTATATATAGAATGTGTTACTCCTTTAATGGAGCTCAGTGTATCATTTTGATCAGATTTGCTGACACACACAAACACAGAATGTACATTTGTGTGTGCATGCATACATTGCTTTGGTTGACCCCTGGTCTTCTCTTGCTTCTTTCCCTCCCTCCTTCACACAAATCTTCTTCACTTGTTCAGGGATCCACTGTTGCCTGCATAGTAAGTAAGTCTGGCAGGAAGGAAGAGACTTCACTTCTTCAACTTTCTTTCTTTTTTCTTAAACAGGAATCTAATTGCAATACAACAGCAGAGAGAAACTGACAAACCCTTGAGGGATCAAGAGAGAAAAGTAGTAATGCCAAAGAATGCCATTTCAAAAAGCAAGTAATTATGGGCTATTTTTCCTCTGGAAAGATCAATCCTAAGCATAATTGTGGGGCAGTGAAGCTTCACTTAACTTAGCATGACTCATTTCATGTGATAAGGCTTGGATGCGCCAATTTTATTCATACTTAGCTGAACACCACGTTCACTGCATTTTTAGACTGTTTGGACAAGACCGTCCAAACAAGTGGTATTTCTACATAAGCCATTTATTCTGCAATTGCTGCGCTTGATTCACCAAATAGCACAGGGGTCAACCAGCACAGCCCTTTGCTGTAATTCTATCGGCGTCTCCAACCGTGCTTTCCTTCTTTTCCGGCCACAGAAAATCCACATGGTGGGAAGGGGTAGATGGAGAGACAAAATAGCTGCAAAATATCTTTGGCTTCATAGTGTTAAGAACTCTCCATGAAAAACACCCTTTGGCTTTTTCAACTGTTCATTTCCTCTGCACCTGCTTACCTTTAAAAGAATCAAAATAATATACCAAGGAAGAAGGTCCCTTCTTTTCATTAGTCCAAATAAAGAGAATGCTCATTCATCACTTTTGAATTTTTTCTACTGGGACAACTCAGCTATGACTTCTGTCCATTCTAGCTAGTATTCATCCCAGCAAGATTCAAAGACTTTTTTCTTTCATACTTTCAAAACAAAATTGGAAACGGAGCAGGGGGTTGCACTAATCCAAACATCTCAACAGAAAATGTCTTCCTCCAAGAGTTCTTCAGGGGATGCAACTTCCAATGGAACTGAGGATGATAACCTAGCTTTTCTGGGTACAAGAGACTTGCTGACATTCCTGTGGCCTTCCAAAATTAAATTTGATTTTTTAAAAATCAAATTGTTAGGGTTTATGCCAAACGCTATAATCCAGGGCATTACATGAAGGCATAGAGGTCCACAAAATGCTGCCAACCCCTGCACTGCAAAAAGTCGTTGGATCCATGTATTTGTATGGAATATACAGTATTTGGATTCTTTTAGAACATCCAGAGATATAGGCTCTCATGAAGAATACGCATATCTGATTGGAAGGATGGGGAGAAAAACAAAAAGAAATAATATTTTTCCACCTTTCCTCTGGGCTGTTTTCAAGATGCCTGAAATTTACTCTTCTTTGATTATACTTTTCCAGAGAACATTTGAAATGGGTGCAGTAAATTGATAGAGGGGTTGAGGGAACCTTTCTTTACCTAATCCTTCACTCTGATTGAATGTTATCTTCACTGTTTGGCAAGAAGATCCATCTCCTAAACAAACTCCACATTGATCTTCAGTTGCATTGGAATTAATTTCATAATCACAGCCGACAGTCTAAAGGAAAAAGAACATTTTTCAGAATAAATGTTACATGCATGATATACTATGTCAGGATTGATACATGTATTTTTTTCTTTAAAATATCAGTTGCATATAACATTAAAAATAACTTTATTCCTAACTTTACATCATATTTCCACATCGATTTCATATAAGATTAATGGGGTGCTGAAGAAGACAAATGACTTTCTTCCAAGTCCATCACCTCTCTGACCAGTTCAAGGGTGTCAGTGTGTTGGAGAAAACATTGCACACTGTCCTGTCATATTTCCTGACTTTAAATTCTCCAAGCTCAATGCAGACCTCAGAAACTGTATAGCGTCCTGCAGAAAAATTATCCTGCTTTTTTTCCTGCAGTTCTCATGCAATATGTTGTTCTTAATGTTTGTCTCAGTTGGCTGCAGTATCCCCTTGCTTTGCATTGCACTCACCTAGTTTACACAGAGAAGTTACCAGTGCACGATGCAAAAGGTTTTTTTTTTTCCTTCAGCCAGTTTGTTGCTGAGCCTGACTCTAATTAGAGGGAATGACTGGCCCGAAGTCACCCAGCTGGCTTCAATGCTTAAAGAAAGGCCAGAGCAGTGTTTCTCAACCTTGGCAACTCTAAGATGTGTGGACTTCAACTCCCAGAATT